GACGCTGTCGTGGGGTATTTTCGAAAAATAGGTTGGCAACACTGTTCTGGCTGCCGCAAGCGGCGGAGCATGCAGGCAGACCCTCGGGGTCCCAAACACGGTTACATCATCAGAGCAGTTTCGTGAACTTCAACAATCCACGAACTTACCGGTGAAAAGATATTCGCGTTCCTTTCGAAGCTTTCTTTTTGTATAGCGCGCAGATGTACGGCCTCGCGTTGACTCTAAACTAAACCATATACGCTACCCGGCTTCGCCGGTGGGGCGCGGGTGGGCGCGGTTGAGGAATACGAAACTGCGCAACCACCAGATTTCCGAGATTTCGACAGAAGGGAAGTTAATGCAGCGTAATGACTTTATTGCTTTCTATAAGCGTTAGAATAGCTCAGAATTTAGTTTGCAACGTTAAATTATCACTGTTTATATTGCTGAGACTTTTCACTCTTCGCGTTTACCATGGCAACGTTGCTTTCTTTCTCTCGTGCTCTGTCGCTCTCTTTTGCGATCGTTCACTCGGGACCCCGGGTGTCGGCGCACGGGATTTGCCACTCCTCCTCACCCACCTTTACCCCCCTGGCCCAGGCTGCGCCGTGTTTGCGGAGCGATGCGATAGGCGGCGCGGGTAGTACTGTGCGGCGGCCGAAGTGCTGTTTCAACTCATATTAACCATGTTGAATATACCTGAGACTGGGGTAGAAAAAAACATAAAAGTCGAAGAAACAGAACGGGACAGGACGACGTCTCAAGCTCAGCTACCAGGTGTATTCAGTCCTCCTCTTTATATAGTCCACGAACAGCCCACCACCAACACAAAGGGGCAACTCTAACCAGTTCAACCGCCAAACCCTCCAGACAGTCACAACTAACACAAAGGGACAACCTCTAAACAGTCCAAACGCCAAACCCTGTAATTCCAAACTAGCGCCATGGACGGCCTGGCCTTCATGTCGATTCACAAAGATAACTCAGCAATCTCCCCCAAAATATAACAAAAGGACCATTACCTCTTCCAAAGTAACAAGGATCCACAAACACATACACAAAAAGAAAAATCTTTGTGAATCGGCATAAAGGCCGTCCATAGTGCTAGTTTGGAATTACAGGGTTTGGCGTTTGGACTGTTTAGAGGTTGTCCCTTTGTGTTGGTAGTGACTGTCTGGAGGGTTTGGCGGTTGAACTGGTTAGAGTTGCCCCTTTGTGTTGGTGGTGGGCTGTTCGTGGACTATATAAGGAGGAGGACTGAATAAACCTGGTAGCTGAGTTTGAGACGTCGTCCTGTCCCGTTCTGTTTCTTCGACTTTTATGTTTTTTTCTACCCCAGTCTCAGGTATATTCAACATGGTTAACATCCACCAGCTCACCTGCACCCTTACTATTGTATCTCAGCTCATATCTGTGTGCTTGTATCTCAGCACACAACCTCCACCTCCAGCGGCCGGTTTAACAAGGCACATTCCTCGATGAGGTCTGGTGTGGAGCGCTGCATTGGGCTGTTGAAATCCAGATTCCGGTGTCTGCAAAGGCACCGGGCTCTTCATTACCATCCAACAACAGCCACCGCCATTATAACGGCGTGTGCAGTGCTCCACAATATATGCCTTGCATCGATGGAGCCAGAACCGGAGCCAGATGCCGCCTCTGGCAGTTTAGAGTCGGACTCTGGGTCGAGCTCGGACGGTTCTGAGCCGGGCTCGGCGGGGTTACAGCCAGAAGGTGGCGGGCAGGTTCCTGCCCACCTTCCGGTGCGCCTCTCGGACAGGGGGAAGGCTCTGAGGCAAGGCCTTGTGTCCCAGTTCAAGACCTGCCAAAGCCGTCCCGTCGCGGGGCCCTCTGCAGGCCGCTCTGGCAGTTCCTTACGCTGGCAGTCCTGCCGGCCAGGGAGGCCAGCGACGACAGGGAGCCCCTCGTCGTCATCACCGCCACCATGCCGGCAGTTCTGCAAAGACTGAGGTGCCGTTGACACCCAAGGCCCTCGTCAGCACCCTTGGTGCCAAGGGAGCTCCCCGTAGAAGTGCGTAAAACTCTTTCCGGTCCACAGGCACGACGGTTCATGAACTGCGCAGTCTCTTGAGCTCCTGCTCCTCACAGCTTTCAGCACAGCCATTGTGCTACCCTCGCAGAAGGATGGTGCTGCTTCCGATATATGTATTTGGGGATTTTAAGTGTGTAAGGGTGGTTCCAAAGGTGCACCTGTCCATAGGTTAACCTTTTATTTTGCAACAGAAATGAGGTAATGAGTATCGTGTGTCCATGATCGTGGTCGGTTAGTTGAGTTCATATGGCGAACATAGACAGGCCGCCTCTTTTTTCTCGCAGCAAACTCTGTTATTTTATGCCATGTATTTTCTTATGTGTTACTGGATATTGGCTTGTGTAACAGGTATGTCCAAGTAACCTGGGATCAAATCATTTTGCCTCTTTATCAAACGGTCTCATTTTTCTCATCTCCATTCTGTTTTTGCTTCCCAGGTGTGCCACATTTTTATGTATTCTTTGTGACTATAGGTTTTTGATATATTTTTGTTGTTTACAAAGAGGGTACACAGGAGTGGATTGTGACAGAGATATTCTTTTAGCAATAAAAATCTTTGCGAACATTGCAGATTTTTTCCTTGCACCCAAAATGCTACTATACACATTACAAAAATGTATGTGCAAGTGAAAACAAACTTCTGCTTTTTTTATGTGAGAGTTTGACAAAAGATGTTATTGCAGCCACTTGAGGCGCTTTCGTATAAAACAGTATTTACAAATAACAACAATCTCCAGAGGATATAAGTTGACAGTTCATGAAAGACGTTGCTGCGACCACTTCAGGCACTGTGTCATATAAAACAATATATACAGATAACAACATTCGCCAGAGAACATAGGTCGACAGGTCATGGAAGATTTTATTGAGAGAGAATAAACTTTATTTATTCAGTTTTCTGAAGGGGGGGAGGCGCCCTTAGTCCAGGGCTCCTGTGGCCTTAACCGCTGAGCGGGCCCGGTCCACCAGCTTACGCTGGTCATCCAGGCTGGAGCTGAGCAGCACGGCCTCCCATTGGGAAGGGGTAGGGTGTGGGATAGGGGGAATCGCGGGGTTTCGTTGGCATGCCCATACAGTGTGGTATAGGTTGGCGTACGTGCCGCAGAATGGGCATTCTTTGTTGTATTGTTCGGGGTACCATCGGTGAAGTAGACTTAGGTGTCGATATGTGTTGGTTTATAGTTGCCGCCAGACAACAGCCTCCTCTCGTGTGAGCTCTTCGTGCGGCGGGGGGGAGCTTTTGGCGTTCTAGGCGATAGTACTCTGTGATTTCCGCGTACTGAGTCAGTGGGTGTCCGTCGCTCTTGCTCTCTTCTGTTTGCCTGCAGTCCGGTGCTCGGAAGGTATTTGCTCGAGCGACAGCGTGGGCGCGCTGGTTGCCGGGTACAGACTCGTGTCCAGGGGTCCAGACCAATTTGACCGGGGGGAACTTATCTTGGTGCTTCGTGAGTAGATCGTGCGCCGATTTAGATACATAGCCCGTCCGGTAGGCTCGGCACGCTGTTTGGGAGTCCGTTATAATTGTAGTGTATGGGTCGCTGTTGATAATGGCTAGTGCGATGGCTGCCTCTTCGGCTTCTGTTGGTCGGTTCGTTTTGATTGTCGCAGTGACGACGGTTTCGAGGTCTTGATTGATCACGCCGATAGCCGCTGCTTGTTTCTGGGGGTAGTCTGCGGCGTCCGTATATCTAACCGCTGGGTGGTCTGCGTAGATTCTGGCATGTGCCCTTGCCCTGGCTTGGCGTCTTCCTTTGTGGTGCTCAGGGTGCATGTTCTTCGGTATCGGTGCGACTTCTATGAGGTCGCAGACCGCTGCCGGTAGGGGCAGTGTGGGGTCACCATCTGTGTGGCCTAGGTATCCGAGTTTGCACAGCAGGTGTCTGCCGGTAACGGATCCCCGAAGTCGATACTGTTGTCCCGTCAGGTGGGCCTCGATAAGTTCACGTGTCGTATTGGTAACTCCTGTGGCGTGTAGCTTCTCGGTAGCTGTTGTCGGTGGGAGACCGAGTGCCACTTTGTAGGCTCGTCTGAGTAGTATGTCGATCTTCTCTATTTCCGACGGTTTCAGGGGTAGGTATGGGATGGAGTACGTGACCCGGCTCACAATCAGTGCGCGGACCAGTCGGAGTGTGTCCTCCTCTTTGAGGCCTCGATGGCGGTTGGTGATTCTGCAGATCCTGATCACTTGACCTGTGGATCTTGTGAGGTGGTCGGTGGCCGTTGTGGCACTGCCATCCTTCTGCATGTGGAGCCCCAGAATGCGCATGCTATTCACTGTGGGTATCTTGTGTTCGTCGAGATATAGTTCTATACGAGTGCTGGGTTTGCTGCGCCCGGGTGTTTTCTTCTGCAAGATCATGAGTTCGGATTTGGTCGGCGAGATTGTTAGGTTGCCGAGCTGCGCGTATTCCTGTACAGCTTCCAGAGCGCTTTGGAGTGCCTCCTGCTTTTCTCCTTCCGAGCCCCTGGTTGTCCAAATAGTAAGATTGTCTGCGTATATGGTGTGGCGTATGCCGGGTATTGCATTGAGTCTGTCTGGGAGCTTGTTCATGGCCGAATTGAATAGGGTCGGCGACAGGACGGACCCTTGGGGTGTCGAAGGCGTCGGTACGCAGTGACCCAATACCGATTGTGGCGGTGCGATGGCTGAGGTAGCTTCTAACATAGTTGTATATCCGTTTGCCGCAGTTCGTGTGGGCGAGGTTTTCTAGGATCAGTTTGTGGCTGACGTTATCAAAAGCGCTCTTGAGATCGAGTGCTAAGATGGCTTGCGGTGTGTGTGCAGATAATGTATCTAACAGCTCCTCCTTCAGTTGTAGTAGGACGTCTTGTGTTGAAAGGTGTGCTCTAAATCCAAACATTGTGTGAGGGTAAGCCCTTGCGCTCTGGAGGTGCGGCTACAGGCGATTGAGCACAATGTGTTCATATAGCTTACCCAAGCACGATGTCAGTGATATCGGTCTTAATGTGCTGAGGCTTAGAGGCTTGCCAGGTTTGGAAGATTTTATTGCAGCCGCTGGGGGCATTGTCATTAAATTAATATATACAAAATAAAAAAAAATCCCCTTGGATGTTACAAAAAGACTGTACAGTAGTGAACAATTAGTTGTTGTCATCTTCCCCCGGAGGTTGGGCCAGGTGCTCGGCCTGGGACTCGGCCTGGAGCTGGGGCTGGGGCTGGGCCTGGGGCTGGGGCTGGGGTTGAGGCTGGGCCTGGGGTTGAGGCTGACGCAGAGCGTGGCCGGATAGCTGGAGGATAACCTCTCGCATGAAGGCAGCGTTTTGCTGCATGGAGAGGACCCCCTCCTGGATGTTCTCTGCGATCCGGTCCATGCTCTGCGTCTGCTGCACCACATTCTGCGCCAGCCGCCCCACGTTCTGCGCCAGCTGCCCCACGTTCTGTGCCAGCCGCTCCAGGAGCTGCCCCATGCCGAGCGTGATCTGAAACATGATTTGCAGATTTCTTGACTTTCAACATCTCATGCAGGTTGCAAAGACTTTGCTGACACCAACTTATTGGTAGCTTATGTGTGAAGCAAGTCTGTGTTTAATCATTACCTGTGCTTCAGGGATTTGTCAACATTACCTGTCCCTGGAACCTTTCGTCCTTTGAGTCGCGGCCTACGTTGGCGTCGAGCAGGCGCTGCTGGTTAGCCACGGCCGAAAAGTCCGCCTCGTCCCGCCTCTCCTGTCGAGAGGCTCGAGGGACTCGACGAGGCAGCCTTCGTCGAACCGTGGCTTGCCGTGCTCGAGGCTGTGGCATTTCTGCAGGAAAACATAGTTTAGATCAGTAATAAGTGTGGTCATGTTCATGTTGCTGACGGTTTTAGTTCCCCTTGGTCAAGTAAGGTATCTTACGGGTTGAGGTAGATGCCTCGTGATCCGCGTCCTCCTCCTCCTTGAGCACGTCCCCCGCATCCTGTGAAGCTGGGTGCTCCTCTGCCGGGGCGCCCACAGGCTGCACCTACGTGGCACATTTATCGTTACACGTTTGCACTGCATGCACTGTAACATGTGCAATCTCTTATGTTTTTTTATGGAATGAAATGGAGCTATGCTCCAGCTTTAGATTCTATGCAGGTTTGCCCCTGTAGTAACTTTTGTAGTTTGCTGTAAAAACAATACTGCAAATATGACTTGTGATAAACCTCTTGTGAGCGCCAGGCAACTAGCTGCTCCCTGTCGTGTGCGTATTACCCTATAAGAGTTGTACATGTTGCATACTATCGGGAAAAACAGATAAGTAGATGATTCATTGCAGCAGCTGAATGTAGCTGGTAGTGCTGTGGCTGACGCTAGGGTGTACCACTCCCATTTACATGTCATTTCAATCACTTTTTATGTAAAGTAACCACCTTACTACAGCTCTCATCAATGTTTCTAGGTCTACGCAAAGTCGGGGCCAAACCCAGGAAAAATATTTGGCAGTCCAGGACGAACTTTGAAGCTCAGACTCCTCCTCCTATCCTGGATATGGCCCTGAGCCCAGGAACTATTTACATACACATCCCATAGTTTTTAATAGTTATCACATGTGCAGTCCTTTCAGGGTTAGCCTGTACAGGGACAAGTCAATTTGCCCTCTGTACACCCTAGAGTTGGCGAGATTTTGAGAGGGACCGGTAAATAAATTAACCATTTGTTGCTTATATTTATCACTTTAAAAGGATACTACAACGAAATTTCGGCGCTCATTTTTTGGTCTGTATGTGTTCAAAAGAGCAGTATCACATGGAACATACCGATATCTTGTTAAAAAAAGTCTCAAAAAGGAATTTTAAAAGGAATTAAACGATTAACGAAGAGCACCTGGTGGATGTCGCTAACGCCTCGTTTGTAATGCTCGTCTAGGAACCTTGACAGCTGGTGACGGAGGTTGTCTCGTCTCCGGCCACGACGAGAGAAGGGGGGAAGGGGGAACTCCCCTCTTCCCGAGAATCCCTTTTGTGTGTCGCAGTAGTCGCTATTGTCCCCTTAGATGATTATAGAAGATTAACCCGTCACTCAAAATTCGTACAAAAGCAGCCGCTTCGGTGGCTGGAACGACTAGGCCATCCTCTCGACGTCAGCCTCGCCGTAGCTTTGCTCGTCTTGAGACGACCTTCGTCACGATTGCGTTGGATGCCACGTGCTCTAAGCTGGGCCTTCTCCGAGCGCTTGCCAAAGTGGGCCATTTATAACGAAAAATACAGCCACCAGGATCAAAATACAAACGTGCGATTGTCATTTACGGATATTGTGGATTAAATTCAACCTATTTTTGAACACGACGGGAATATTTCAAAATTCGTTGAAGTATCCCTTTAAACAATGACTATTGTAACCGACTAATAAAACTATCAACATATGTTCAGAAAGCTGAAACCACTTTTGGGACCACGTAGGTAACGAAGTGCCAATCCTGCTTTCTTCACTTCTTAGGTAAAGTTCATTGAAATTTTAATGCAATGCTTCCATTAATTTTAAAATACAAATTTAAGCGTTCACTTTGTGCACTTGCCCCGCCTCCTGGAACTCTGCAGAAATAGGCAATACATGTAGATTGTTGTGCTGTTCCCTGGTCAGGTACGTACCTCCTCCTCCGGAAAGTGGGGTACACGAAACCCGGGGGCGCCCAGGGCAGAGTCTACCCCGACAATGCACAGGATACGGGAGTAGGTCGATGAGAGCCGCACCTGGGAGGTGCCTCTCCCCGTTTTGCGGCTGTGAATACAAAATATATATCAATAACTCTGTCCCGAGTATTTATCTACTGCCTAGCTTACCGCTCAGCCTCGACGACTGCGCACCGCTTGCGGGCTTTGCAGACGCGGTTCAGCCAAACCCTCTTCCACCGCTCTGTGTTGCGCGGCGGCCCGATGTGGTTCAGGCGGCTGGTCAACTCGGCCCACAACCTTGCCTTGTCAGCTCTGGTCAGGTTAGGCGAGAGGCCAGAGGCCCCACGAGCCAGTTCGCGATGCTGGAACATAAAATTGTCCATTTCTTCTTTTTGTAATGAATTGACTGGCTCGCAGGGCCCTCTCTCGCTTGCCTGATCAGACATGACAGACATGAATGAGGCGGTAAATTCTCGTCTGCTATCAGTTTTCATCACATAACTTCGGTTTCACTTTTATTTTAAGTCCAACTAAAGAAAAACGTGCTAATTTCACCAGCATTCAGAGTTTTTTTTTTTTATTTACGACGTTGTGTGAAATAAATTATATGTGACGGTGAGCGTCGCACTTCCTTGGCTACTGTCGGCTCGATGCAAGTACAAGAGTCGTTGGCTTGGTTTGCTCGTTTGGCTTCACTTTAGTTTGGCTTCGTGTCTTCACGGTAGACCTGTGCGCCGGTCAGAAATCGCCGGCGGCGGCGCGCCGGTGTTTGTACATCCGGCGGCGGCGCGTTGACGGCGCGGGAATCAACGGATCAGCGGCGGCGTAGCGCGGAAGAGGGAGGGGAGGGGGTGTGGGAGGGTGGTGTAAATTAGAGAGTGAGGGAGAGAAAGAAAGGAGTCATTTGAATTTGGAAAACAAGGTGCAAATACCATAAAGACGAACACACTTTTCTATTTCATTTTTTTTTTTTCTGGAGTGGTTATACATTGGCCTCCGCTGTGAAAAGTGCGACCGTTAGAAGAATCAGGTACTCGGCGTCTTGTTTATTCTCGTTTGTAAGAGAATATGTCGCAGGCTGGCAGCCGCAGCGCAAGATCCTCCGTTAACGAGGACCGACGACAACAGGTATTTTATCACCGCGTTCCACCTCACCACGCGCTTGTCGCGCGCCCCGTGCCTAACAAGTCGACCGAGCACGTCCTTCGATTTATAGAACTCGTACTCTCATTTGGTACGCCGCAAGCCGTCATCACCGACAACGACAGGGTCCTAACCTCTCGTTCGGCTTCGCAGTACTTCGCCGACAGGCACATTCAGAGCATTCCTAACAATACTTTACGCTTCCGAAGCTAACGGTTTTGTCGAACGCGCCAACGGAAAAATCCTTCCATGTCTGCGCGAAAGAACATCAACGGCGACATCGACCATTGGAGCGATTAACTTTAGGCTACCAGCTTTGTGAACCATTAGCCGTACGCCGGACTCCAGACGTCACCGTTCGAACTCCTGTTCAACTTTGTCCCACGTCGACCAATGGAATTTTCCCCGCTTCCTGACGAGGTCGGCGACGTCCGCGCGAACTGTGACGCTGCAAACGCAAACCACGCTTACCTTCACGGCATGAAGCGTTCCTACGAGCGTTCCTACACAATTTCCGGGTTTACTCCGCAAGGCACACCGGATTTCCGCCAAGCTGCCGCACAATAGCACTTCTTTTTTTTTTTTTTTCACGAACAACCTGCAGTGATTGGCGTCGATTTCAACCAACTCGCCTTGCACCGCGGCAGACCCTCCGATTACAAGCGCATCACGCCGACGCCGCCCTCCACGATGGCTAGACGCATAACAGAGGATCATGACAACATTAACAAAATGTGCGAGGGCGCAAGGATTTTGAGTTCGGGAGTGTAAGCTAATAAGTACGCTGTCGGCAAAGACCTGTAAGGAGAGCCTCCCCGACTCGACCGGATGGGAGCTCGACTTCGACCCCCGATGCTGGATCCCGGCGTGGAAACGAGAAAGGAGGATTCCTAAAAACACGATGTGACAGGAATAAGCCGGGCGTGGGGATCAAAATAAAATACGTTTGAAAGAAGCCTGAAAACGGACGCGAATATAGCCCTCTTGTATCAAAGTATTTCACAAAGTTTTCATTAAATCGTTTTGCAGTCTACAAAACCGTTCATTCCGTTATAACACTTTAAAAACACAGGCGAGCTGGTGAAGAACTTCCATAGTAACCGGAGAACACGGAACGATAAAAATAGCGAACGAGACAACAAGTCTCAAAGACAGCTTTATACCCGTTTTCACGTCAAGAAATCTAGTAAAAAGAGTCCGACTCCTCGCGAACCATTACTAATTTCCACCTTTATGCGGAGAATTAAGATATATGTAGATGGATTCTACTATATATATTATCAAGACGTACACGTTCCAGCGCCAAAATCATCGCTTTTTTTCTCAGACAACCAAATCTCGTATAACACTTTGCGTCGCGTATACGAACATCTTTGTTTCATGCATGTGCTTTCGCCCCCTGTAATGCCTTCGTGCCCTGAGGGTACTTTAATAAATAAATAAATGCTCAAAACTTCCCTTTTTAAAAACGGGTATAATTTAGTTGAAAAACGAACGCTCTTATATATACGTCAAGACCCTCACCACCAAAAAAGAACTAAAAAAAGAATGGTATCACCATTACACACTTCAGTCCCATATAACGCACCCCAAAACTTTAGTTCGACGCGCAGACGGCCATACATTTTACGAGGGGCTTGATAACGGAGCGATATAAGTTCTTAAATAGCTGAAGTACGTATCAAAGACCACAGAAAGAAAACACTGAGATTTTGCAGTAGGGCCAAGAAAACCCCAATTATTATTATTATTATTTTTTTTTTTTTAGTCAGTAAAACGTACATTAGCTATTTTAATTTTAATAAGTTGTACCACGTGGCTATCAAGCCTCTCGTGAAAGTTGGTCAGTTCGACGTCTGAAGTTTTGGGGTGTCTTATATGGGACAAAGGGCGTAAGAATACACCCTTTTTTTTAGAGTGTAGGTCACTGAAAGACCGGACACTCGGACAGATCCCAATGATTCATTGGTCACACCAACCTGCCATGCATACGACCCTTCTTGATGACTGACCAGCCACATGCGATAACAGGCAACTCCATCAGAACCCTTACTAATATGATACACGCGTGACGAGATGTCCCTACAGCTTGCAATTCGCTTAACGAGTGTCGATGAAACGATCGTGTCGACAAAACGCGTGTCCGTAAAACGTGTGCCGATGAAAAGTTGTCTGCGATACGTAATTCCACGAAACGAGTTTCGATGAAATGAGAGGGTCCCGTACACCACTCCTGTCTGAAAAGTTACATCTGGGTTCTTATATGGTTTTTTTTTGTTTTTTTTTTTTCTGGCGCCCTTGAGGATTACCAGAAAGGGGGTTGACCTTTCTAATTTGTACTGAGGTTTGAAAACTAAATTTACACCGAACCTATTTGCAACTGATATAAGGTTATGAGAGATTCCATGGTAGTAAGGCACACACACAAAATATTTTTCACAACCGGTTTTTCCACAGGAGCCGGATTAAACGTTCAGCACCTTGAGCACAACTCTAACAATTGCATCGTGGTGATGGCCCGCGTCCAAACGAGGCATCTTTTGCAATTCAACTGCCTCACCAACCCAAAACATACGGGATTCTTTACAGGCGTTATCCATCGCAGACGCAATTACACCACTCTTAACTATTTTCAACTCACAGCTGTCAGCAACCAACAGAGGCTTGGCTGATTCCTTGCCGTACCTCCAGCACAGGCCCTTTTCCGTGTACAGCAGTAGGTCTATAAGTGCTTAATTCGACTGTTGCGATGGCAGGGTTGTGTGGTCCAATCGACAAGGTCCGCACAACCGTGTCGACGTGAACATAAGTCTCGTTTTAAAAAAAATCTCGGACAACCCTGGAGCAATTCACGACCCGATACACACACCCTATTTTGGAATAAAAAGAGAACCATCAATGTCTACGGCAGTGGACTCTAAATGAAACTCCAGAATGCTGATAAAACTATCTACATCAATTCCAGTGGCAAACTGCAACTTCACTAGATTATCATCACACCACCTCCTGATCCTTATTAACAGCTCAGACCTATTCAGAGTAATATAAGTCCTTGATGTCTACAGTTGTCACATCTCACCTTCTACCACGATGCGGATTCAATATTTCAATCAATTGCTCAGAGTTTTTGAGTGACAAGGACTGTTGCTCCACTCCTGTCAGGCGTTTCTGGATAAAACCGACAACGCCTTCTGCCAAACTCAATTTTCGTTGACAACCATTTTAACAATTACACCAGGATGGGATTGTTACGTTGTGCTCAAGCTGTAAGGAACGTACGCTTAATCCGGCTCCTGCGGAAAAAAAAACGGTTTTAAAGAATGTTGTGTGTGTGCCTTACTACCTGAATTTCTCATAACTTTATATCAGTGGCAGGGAGGTTCGGTGTAAATTTAGTTTTCAAACAAATTAGAAAGGTTAACCTCCTTTTCGGGTGGTCCATAGGGGTGCCAGAAAAAAACATGTGTACAACACGTGCCGGAACTATTGATGGCGTCCGCCTCAATTATCTCTCTAACAGTCCTATGTTTGTGCCTACCGAGAACAGTGGAAGAAGCAATTAATGGTGTGCACCTGCATTCATGCGTGGTTTCAAATGACTTTGCAGAAAAAGAGATAGTGTATTTGCGGTCCGCGGCGGTGCCACGGATTGGTTGAGATGTGGTGCAGTGACGCAGTGCGTATCTACGCTGAGGCTCTTCGATGAAATCAGTTGAAAGCGCTCTGTGGTGTTCTTCCTCTGTCTATGTCTTAAAGCGCAGTCATGTTTTTCACGCACAATACCAACTCGCCCAACAATCAGCAATGGTAGGAGAGTTCTGAGGGAGACCATGCGTATTTTGGCCTCTGGTAATTGTGTAAGCATACCGTCCTTGGCATTAGACAGTGATATGAAGCGTTTTTTGTGTCTCTATAAGGTCTTGTTTTGTGGGTTTTCTAAGAATGGTAAGGGCTGTGCTGGAGCTGGATTGGCCTGTTATCGCATATGTGGCTGGTCAGCCCTTAAGCGAGGTCATCAGGGTGGCTGGTTTGTTTGAATCATTTAGATATGTCTGAATCATGAATCATATGGGTTCTGTCGAGTGTCCGGCTCTCGGTGACAGTGAAGAAGAGGTGTTTCTTTTTTGGTGGTGACGGTCTTGAGGTATATGTAACAACGTTCGTTGTTCAAATAAACTACAAACTGTGTTTGAGACTTGTTTTGTTCGTTTTTTTATCGTTCCGTGTCTCCGTTTTCTATGGAACTTCTACATTTATTGATATGTATATACAGGAGTAAAAATGAAAGGGGAAAAGGACACAGACACAAGTGTATCTATTCATTTTTTATGCATAATACAGTAGGTAAAACTCA